TTGGGTTTTTTTTTTTTCCCATGGCTATCTATTTGCATTCTGAACAGACTGGGCTGAAAGGTGAGGGCAAAGGGGGACTGTGGTTTGTTTTTTTTTTGTTTGGTTTTTTTTGTTTGTTTGTTTTAATCCTTAACAGCGCTGGTATTAGTGTGAAACTGGCATTGAGGTGAAGTGTACTTATTTACCTCTGCTGACAATGGAACCACATAGTACATCTTCAATCCTAATTCACTGACTGACTCTTCTCATAAAATCTAATTGGAGATGGTACAACTACTAAGCAGAAGATTGAGATTTAGCCTTACTTCCCTTAAAAATTTAAAATAATACCTTTTCATTACAGTTATTTATATTTTTCTTCAAATCTTTAGGATGTTTAGGTTATTATAGGTCATACAGTTGAAGAACCTGCTTTTTTTTTTTTCAGTGAATCTGATGTCCAGTTCTGCCTGAGTATTGAATAATCTGCCATGGTTCCATGAACATGGCTTRTAAGCAACCTGCTGAAGCTTTTTTCAGGGTTTAACCATCACTTCTGTAGTTTTTACTGTTAGAAGACAACATTATGTTACCAGTTGAGCTTGAAGTACAGGTAAGAGATATTGGATACTTCATTGCCCCTGAGCTCAGGGAAAGCAGCAAGACAGTCTCTAGTCTTGCATAATAGATATGCTCTAAACTGAATATTTGTAGTTTTATGGCCTCCAAAGACAAGCTATATTAAAGGACAAAGCAATGTTTCCTGCAGTTTACTGAACTGTTGCCATGCCCAGCTTTCAGTAAGCTTTTCCTGAACGGTGGGAAAAATTGGAATACAAGTAGCCTTAGGTGTCTCATGTCAAAATGCAAACCCACACTGGTGAAGGGGAAAAAAGCCCCATGTTGGTTATTCACAGGTGTGGCTTTTGAGTTTTTTGTTTGCTTGCACATGAAGAATTTTGGGAAGGCTGAAAGCTGTTARGGTGACATCAGAGGCAGGAAATGTGTCTGGCCTGACAGTAGGTGCCACTTAGTGAGAGAAGCTCTGGTGCAGAGAGAACTAGTGGGGCAGGGAAGGGAATCAGTGGGAATGAGAGGGAAAAGACCACTATGGACCCCACAGTGTTTGCCACGCAGGAATCCCTTAACTATGTGCACCAACTGCATTGACCAGTTGGAGGAAAACCTGATCTGCCGAAAGAGAAGCAGGAAGGTGGAAAAGGGCAAGTATCATTGTTGGTGGGCTCTMTTCTGACCTCTTAGCTGGGTCTGTTCACTTCAAAGATCACTCAYATGTGGGAATACTGCTCTTGCTTTTATCTGCAAATCTCACCTTCATGTGCTTATTTTTGCTTTCCCATTATGAGTGTGGCTATGCCAGCTGGACCTGCTTCTTTCAAATCACTGTTGTGAGGAAAAGCAGTCTAAATCCAAGTGCTAAAGGGACTGATGGCCACGAGTTTGATGGTTCTTTGCCTGTCTCTTCAGTAATGGTATTACAAATAAATAGCTAAGAAAAACCTTGTTGGTGTYTTTTCCTAATTCCTGTTGTTTCCCATCTGCTTCTGAGTGTGCACTGGAGGAGGCAGAGGGCGTAACGCTCCAGATAAGGGGAAGRTTTGTTCTTTCCTAGTTTCTCACAGGAAAGAATGCCTGGAGATTGCAGCACTGTCAGGTGTCCTTCAGAAGAAAACAATAAACTATTCTGGGAGTAATGAGAARGAGGTTATATCAAAATGGAAGCTTTCTATTTTATCTGTATTTTTCTTGATTGTTGCCATATTAATCATTGGCCATAGTCTTTCTATCCCTGTAAAGCAATTGCATTTAACTGACTTTACAAGGAGATGGTAATTATTTTTTTCAGCTTTTGAGGACCACTTATTCTATTAAAACAAGCACACTTCTTGACAGTAAATTCTCTTAAATGCTTCTAAGAATACTTATGTTGCTGGTGGTGGGAGTCACCAGCATTAAAAGAAAACCAACTTGAATAGTTCATGATGGTTTTGTTTGAGTTTCTGCAACATCTGTAGTATAAAATGTTTTCAATGACTGAACTGTGCAGATCCCAAATTCCATCCTTCTGTAGCCAGAGGCAATTKTTACAGGACCAACACTCCATAGTTKACAATGACAYTACCTGGGAATCTGGCAGTGATCTGAAAAGCTAACCTGCTATGAATATTCAATGTTTTTAAGCAGCTGCTGCTTTGACAACTTAACGCTTAAAACTTGAGCTACTGAAGGTCCTGTGAGCAGCACTCTCCATCTTGGAGCAATTTCCTCTTTTCAGCTGTTTGCCTTTTCAATTAAAGTAACTCAGCTTTGATATTTTCTCAAAATGGGAAAAGTGTCCTGAAAGTTGTGTCCAAACTTCTTTCATTGCATCTGAATCTAGGTCTTTCACAAGCCTAGTATTTGAAGGTGATATTTGTTACTGTACYAACTTCTTTCTGGAAATAAAATTTTGGCTTTGGATCAAACTGGAGGACTTTGTCATTCTGAGTTGGATCCAGTTTGATTATTTTGTAAATTTTTTTTACAGACTGCCTAAGAAATGTAGCTTTTACTTCAACTGTGCATGGTATGCTTCAAAGAAAAACTTTAGCATTCTCTGCCTTTCAGAAAATTATATAGAAGTACTGTATAATATCTAGCAAGACACAAACTAAAAGGAAAGGCTCTTAACTGCAGGTATGTGGAGAAGCAGCAAGCTTTTTCATAACTGGCATTTTTAGCTTTAATTTTAATTTGCATAAACTCAGCTAACCTGCCCTTGTTGCTGTTGCAGACAAGGCTGGGCGCAGTGATGTAGAAGGTGTGAACCATGTTTGCTACCTCCCTGCTTGCACTGACCCTTTTTGCCTGTTCCTTTGCATCACTTACTAACAATGCACCAAGTCATGCTCTCTGGTTACCAAAAAAGGAATTTTCACTGAAGTAAGCGACCCTGTTGACTCAGGCACTGCTCATGTTCTGCAGACAGAGCAAAGTTGCTTTCTTTCTGACCAGAATGAGGAATCGAGTAGCTTTTGTGTGTGTGCAGTTTATCATTACTTCATTTCCTTCCTTTCATAAACCCATGAATGTTTTCTTGCACCTTCTGATTCTCCCAGGACAAATAGGATTACAAGCCCTTCTATCCGGGAAGAGAGGAAAAAGCAGRGTTTAGATTCCTTAGATAATTTAAAATATGCTGTAGGAAACATCATGAATTCCTTCCCTACAGAGGAAGGATAAAAGAAGGAAAATTGGACTTTGAGCTGGAATTTTTTTCAGTGAAGTGTGCAGAGAGGTAGGTGTTCACAATTTTGGAAGTGTTGGTAATTCTGAATTTTTACTGTGAAAATAATCTCATATGATAATTTGTAACTGGTAGATGTGTAATTCTAAATAATCTCAATATGCTTCTTCCTTGAGATAAYACTTGAGCTAAAGGCACAAGCCTCTTAATTAAAAGCCAAAAAAAAAAGTTTAAGACCAAAGTACAAAGCATATTTTTGACTTGATGTCCCAAAGTTTATTAGAGATCTTAATATGACTAAYATGCCACTTCAGTTATGTATTAGTAAGTATTCTTATGGGGCTTAGAGTTTACCACTKCTTTCTTTACCTTACATTGTCATGTATGTAGCTATTTTAAGTGTAAGGATTATTGATCTGCTAAGGGGAGAGATAGTATTTTRCCACTTCACAATTTTCAAGCACAGTAGTTTAACTTGCTGAGAAAATTGAGATGGGTGAACATTGTGTTCAATGATGGCAATATTTTCTGCTGTGTGGTGCCAATTTTAAGGCACTGTTCATGAATMAATAAAATCAAACTGTGGCTCTGGATGTTGTCTGTATTCATTTCCAGAATAACTTATTCCTGAAATACTCATGAATATTAATGAATCTATGGTCTGGTACAGACAGTTTCCAAATGCTGGACTGTGGCAGTGAAGTAACTGGATACTATGATGTGGCTCTGAGCTCTTAACTCTCTACTGCTGACTCACTTTGTGGCCTCAGAGAAACTCTGCAAACTGTGTTTCCTTTCATACAAAAGGACTGCTTTCCTCCATCTTTTATGAAAGTTGCAAAAGACTACAAAATACTGAGTACAGAAGATAGAAGTGTTCAGTGATCTCTGGTGCTTACCAAACATTGTTAGGATCAAGGACCTCTTTATTTTGTCTCTGCAGTCATTTACCTAAAGATAAAGTAGTAGACAATTGACTGCAGGGAAAAAAAATAATTCARTTTAGTGAAATATCATATTTATCTGGTTCAGGATTAAGTTAAGCTTGAGGGGGGTTAGCTTGCAAGTGTGATTTGTCTATTGCTCTACTATCTAATAAGTCCATCTTTTATTTAGCTTAAGGGACAGTTTTGCAGCGCTTGACTGATTGAGCAGTTCCCCTCTTGTGAGGGAATCATGGTCCGGTTTCCTGCTGTGGGAAAGCACAAAACAGAAATGAATTTGGTTTAGTGGCAAGACTTTGGCAGTGAGAAGCAGAGGACTGCTGTGGGGGTGACTTCTGTGTCGTATGGAGCTGCTTCTGCCTGGCTCCAAAATGATCCCACCTCTGCCAAAAGCTGAGACCCTCATACAAATCGGTGGTGTTTCTGTGGAAATATATTTAGGAAAGGGTAAAAAGTTCTGTGCAGCAGCTATGAGAAGGAACTGAAAAAAAAAAAAAGTGGGAGATAACCTGCAGGCATCAAGGTCAGAAAAGAACGGGAGGGAGTGCTGCACCTGCCAGGGAGAGCTTTTCCTGCAGCCTGTGGAGGAACATGCTGGAGAAAAAAACACCCTCCCACAGCAGGTGGACATGCCTTGAAGGGAGCTGCAGCCGTGGAGAGCCCGTGAATGAGCAATTTTCCAACAGGAGMTGTGGCCAGTGAGGGACCCACACTGGAGCTGTCTRTTCCTGAAGGACCATGGCTGTAGAGCCATGCTGGAGCAGTCTGTGAAGGACTGCATCCCATGGGAAGGGCCCATAGTGGAGCAGGGGAAAGGGTGAGAGGGAAGGAACAGCACAAAAGAACAGATCTGGACTGATCATGGCCCCCATTCCTCTACACTGCCTGGGGACAGGGAGAGGAGGTAGAAGAGCTGGGGATGAAGCAGTGAAGTTGAGCTTGGGAAGAAAGTGGAGATTGGGGAAGGTGTTTTTGTCTTTGTTTCTCGCCATCTTATTCTATTTTTTTTTCTGAAAATAAATCAATCTTCCCTGAGTTGCTGTTTTGCTGATGTCAGTAATTGGTGAATGATCCCCCATCTTTATCTTGACCCCAGACTTTTTCATCTTGTTTTCTCTCCATGTTGGTTGAAGAGATGAGGTGGGAGATCGGCTGGTGGGTGCCTGGCAGACAGCCAAGTTAACACACCACAAGCACGRAACACCAGATGTAAAAATAAGCCAAAAATCCAAGGTGTTTGTGCTAATGGTGGCCAATAAAATTGGAAACAAATCTTCTGGAGTCTTCTCCAGCAAWGTTTGGGGGGACAAAATCCAGTCATACACAGGGCAAAGTTAATATTTTCACTTTACTAAGCTCAGTCTCAGGCAAGGTTTTTCTAAGGTCATCCATCAATCTGAATCSTTCACAGTAGGCCCCACTCTAATGTGCTCTTGATTAGGAATATTTATTCATAAATAGCAATTATTACTTGAAAAAGAGCTTCGAAATAGTACTGTTAGTTGTTTCATAAAACAAAACAACTAATGAAATGTACCACTAGGAATAATGTCTCAATAGACTCAATAGAATAATATCTCAATAGACTCCATCAGGATAATGCATTCTATCCCAGTCTAACATAAAAAGTTGATGGACCAGCAGTTTTTTTAACTTCTGCTTCAACAAGTACTATACATTATGTATAGATTAAGTTGGAAGGGGTTAAGTAATGTAACTATTGTAACTGGTTGGTTGTGATTCTGTCATGTGTTTRAAGAAAAAGAAAAAGCTTAGATCCTCACACAACAACTATATTTAAGAAAACAGTAGCCTAATGATGTGTGAAGTCAGTCTATTACAGACCCAGAGAAATTTCATACATCTAAGAAGTCCTTTAAAGTCTGAAGGTAATTTCTTCTGACACATTTTTAATAACATCATGAAGTCCATAATCTTTTATGTTAAAAMCACTTCTAATTACAAAGCATCTTCTCTTGCATAGGTACGTGACTTGGTCTGCTGCTGCTCTTTATTAGGTAGTGATTTCAAATGCTCTTCTCCCGTCTCAAAAATCAGGAGAGAATGTACAAGACAACCATAAATAATCTTATTTAAGTAGAAGGACTACTGATTTATTACTGAGCTAGGCAAACTGAAGGTTATGGTAATATCTATTTTATTCCTGAGAAGCTAAATATTAAATGCCATAATTTCAGTGATTCCTGTACAAAATGTGCCTAATGTAGGTGCTCTCCCAGCTGCAGCTCTCCTGCTTTCTTGCCCACTYAGAGAAGTTGCCTAGAAAAGCTGCCTTGAGCAGTTGAAGAATATTGGTCTAATTTCCACCCAAGTGATCATTCTTTCCAGACAAAAGTCACTATCTTCTAGAATAACTGATGTGTTTGCAGAGACAATTGATCATTTGACAATAAATCCATTTTACCAGAAATCATAAGGTACTAGATAGCTGCTGCCAATATTCCAGTCTCCCAGAAAAGCCATTTCATCTTTGAATGGGATGATCAATCTGGCTTTCCTTATTATTATAAGCACTTTCTGCAAACTACATTAGGATCAATATTGGGATCTTGATAAGAAAAGTACTGTCTCTAATAGTTTCACCCCTGTGACTACTCAATTTAGTAAACAATCTTYTCAATTACTCCTAGTCTTAGCTGACCCTRACACRGTACTATGTTCAGTTTTCACAAAAGTTGTGATAAGTGAAAACAAAGCRGGTTTTGTCACTAACAGAATCAGCTATGACCAAAAGCAGTAGCAATCTAACAGATAAAAATCATTCTTCTTTCTCTGACTTCTATCTCTCCAAAAGTTGTTGAGTTTGGGGTTTTTTTTTAAATTGGGGTGGGGGTGGTGTTTTTGGTTCATTGGTTGCTTGCTTGCTTGCTTGCTTGCTTGCTTGGATGGGTTTTGGAGGGTTTTTTGGTTGGTTGATTTTGACATTTTGGGTTTTGGTTTTCTTTCACTGGAAAAATTCCAACTGTTACATTCTGGGTTTTTTGGTTTTTTTTTTTCTCTGTGCCTGATGTCATCAGCTTCAAGGACTCAGTTTCTCTAGCTATTTTTCTATAACTTGCTCTGTGTAAAGTGACTCCTTTACATATGGGACCTGTTAAGTTGTTTCTCTTGAGGCCTTCCATCTCCTATTCCAGATCACCTTTGGCCACATTCAAACTAAAAATACTTCATGACTGAGGGGAGAAGGGGCTGGGGTGGGCATGAGGGGGTGGGCAGGTGTTTAAGCAAATATAAATTAAGAAAAAAAGTCTCATATCTGTCTTGCTCTAGCTGTTCATATTAAGTCTTTTTACATAGAAATGGTCAGCTTCCTTGTTTCTGTAGTACTTTTAGCATAACTGTCTTCCATATTAACCCAGCTGTTGTCCTGAGATAAGACACTTCTGATTACTTAGAGTTGTGCCCTGTTCCTGACAGATCATACAGGCTACATGTAACATAAAGTCCCTGTTCAGTGCAGAGTCAGGACACCACAATAAAATAAATTTACACAGGAGGGATGTATCGCTCTGCAAATACTCCATGCACAGGCAACAAGTGTCTCCACACCCTTCCCACAAAGCAGTGGCATTCAATTGTGCAGCCAATGTATRTTGTAGCCCCATATCCTCCCCCACTGTGGTTCTCTGCTCAGCAAATGGACCGTGAAGCGCATTATTCACCGGGCCAGCAGTGGGCTGAGTCCTGGCCCTGGGCCAAASTGACCTCTTACATTCTTAGCATTCATAAGCCTTTAGATCATGAATATGGTAATGCTGCTGACAGGCTGCRGTCCAAGGCAAGGGGTGAACACCCTCAGTACCACTGCTGCAGAGTGCTTTTCTAAGGAAAATAATGCTCAGCTCTCTCTGTGTGTGAATGTTGGCTTGCTCTCCTAATTCCCAGTAGGTAACTCTTGGAATACCTCAGAGAGGGATGGTTCAGCTGTTTTTGTGCATTCAGTATCAGAACACATTCCTTTAGTGGCTGCACCCACCCACCCCTGACAGTGCTGAGGGCTGTGCTGTTAAAAATAAGCCAGGCTTTGTCCAGTCACAGCCTGTGCTGTGCTGTTTGTCCTGGGGTTTGTGAGGAATGGTGCTCTTCTTCTTACTAATGTAATCTGAGAGAAYAATTTGTGAAGCAGGCTAGGAGTGGTATACTGGTCTGGGTTGGACATGTGACAGATGAATGGGATCTGTGCTGGTGAGGGAAGGGTGGCAGCCAGGAGCCACTCACCACCTGAGAAAAGGGTGAGGAGGAAAACWATGA